ATAAAATGTATTACTGTCTTTTTAAAATACCATGTGCTAATGGATCTTTCCAGATAAACCAAAGTATGAGGACTAAATTGAGCCAGCCTAACCAATTTTTGAGTTCACAACTATTGTCCCAGTTGTCCTTTCTCAGGAAATATGTCTTACCAAACTGCAAAAATAAGGATTATCACATCCAGTAACCTTGACACATTTTAATAACACAGTATTAGGATGTGTGTGCTTTGAGGATCAACGATTTTGATTTAAAAACTGGCATGATTGAATTTGCTGGTGCCTTTGGGTCCACTTTAATAAAATGCAGAATTATCAGATTCCTCCTCAAAGGAGGAGGATTTAGACTATATATAGAATATAGTTACTTCAGAACTAGCAATTGCAATTAAAACTGCAGCAGGTCAATCAAACAGGGAGAGAAATACTGTGATTACTGCAAGATGTAGGAACTCAGCAAAGAAGGCTCAAGGCAGATAAAGTCAGATCAATAACTTCAATCGTCACCAATGTCTCAATCCATTAGGTGACTGTGTTTTCCCATTGAAATCCCTCCATGGGGTTTTAAAAATTCTGTGAAAAAGTTTAGTCCTCCATTGGTCCTCCACTGAAGTGACAGAAACAAAACAAATAAACCAGCCACAAAATCACCCAGTGCTGCTCAAGTTCCTGGGCTTAAGGATACTTGAAACACTTTCAACATAAGCTCTAGATCTTCTCATGGGAACACACAGATATGTCTTGCCAGCAAGTAGAAGGAATTATGGATTCTTTTTTTTTAAATTTCTTTATTGGTTAAGGTATTACAAATGTGTCCTCATTTCCCATTAACCCCCAGCATGGGTTCTTTTATTCTAAACCATTTACCAAGTTGTCCCTTATAAACACCATTATGGAACTTGAATATTCTAACTTTGTAGCTGTTGCCTTTGATTAACTGATTGCAAGTGAAGGAATAAAGTGTTTCTAACTAGGATTAAATAGCATTAAAAAGTGGGAAGTCATCTCAGACGGTGTTGCGCAATGGTTAAGCACTGACCCATGAACCACGAGGTCACCAGTTCTATTCCCGGTCAGGGCACATGGCCGGGTTATGGGCTGGGTTGTGCAGGATGATGTTTCTCTCTCATTGATATTTCTATCTCTCTCCCTCTTCACTTCTCTCTTTCTAAAACTCAATAAAAACATATATATTTTTTTAAAGTGAGATGTCAAACTGTTTTGTTACAATCATTTCTAAACCAGTATCATGTTGTATAATAAACTGGAAAGAAAAGAAGGGAGTGGGGAGGGGAGGGGAGGAGAGGGGAGGGAAGGGGAGGGGAGGGGAGGGGAGGGGAGGGGAGGGGAGGGGAGGGGAGGAAGAAAAATTAAACCTCGAAAAGGAATAAATTCTAATTTGTTTTGGGTTTCAGTGGTCAGTCTCTGAAATTTAATTCTTTTTTTGTATTTGGTCATTCACTCATAAGAAAAACAATTCCTTTATAGTCATCTTGAATAAGAAAAAAAATCCTTTTGAAGGACACTGTGCACTGAACTGACAGTTTTTTCTTCTAAACCTGTGCTTTCTGTCTGATTTGTGGAAAAGCTGCTCTTAGTACTAAAAATGATCTATAACAGTACAGTGCACACCTGAGGATAATGACATTCTGTCCGTTTAGTTTTTGGCATATGAACTGCCATATCTTGATGAAACAATTATCTGTTCTCTTAATTTTCCCTTTTTAAATTATGATTATAGCATCCCTGTTTCTCTATCTTTATGTAAAAAAACAAAATGAAAAATCTTTTCAATAATCCAGATGCTTTCAATCACCTTATCTATAAGTTACTGTGAAGATTAAACATCTAGGTGAGTGACAACAATTCATCTTTTATCCAGATTCATTTATCATATAGCTACAACTCACCTTTCTACACGTAGCAAGACCAATTTCCTTCATGAGAGCATGGAATGCCTACATCATTAGAATCCAAAACAAGGGCTTAATGCTTCAGTAGTGTTGAACTGAGACAATTCTTTATTTAAACACTCCTATGAAAAATTGATCTGCTCTTGAATTTTCCATGATTAGTTCTCAATTTAGAATCTTAGATATTATTCAAATCAGATATCAAAGTTGGTATTAATGGGCCAAAAGGGGATGTTAGTCACTGGAAATGTGTTGTTGCTAATACAAATTTCACGTGTAACAAAACCTACATGGTAATAAAGTGGATTGACTGTGTGTGCCTTCTTATAAACCAAGTCACAGAAACCAATCAATTTTTATTCATACATTTTAGTTACTTAACATATCCTTTACTAATTCCAATTACACATCCAAGTTTCTAAACAGCTCATGTGTACACACATATTAATGTAATCAGAGAGCAAATTCATAAATTATACATCATATGGAAGGCTCATAAAAGTATGCAATTATATTAAAAAATCAATTTATAAGTCAATAACAAGATAGAGACCTTGTGAAAAACTTGGAATTTGAAATAAAGAAAAAAATTCCTTTGGGAAAAGTTTAACATTTCCTCCCCTGTTATTCAATTTTTACTGGCATACCTCTTACAGAAGTGTTCTACCATCTATTTGACATTTAAAACATTAGGAAATTCATGAATATGCTAGAAATATTGAATTTATCTTTCCTTTTCCTAAGAGTTAAGTGTAATCCACAAAGTATTTGTCTTTTCCCTTTGGTGGCTTAACATTAAATTAAAGTCACCTTAAGATCAATTTGATATCACCTTAGTAAATGTGAGTGGTTGCCAAAGGTAAATTTCAGTGTCACTCCACAATTATTTTCCACAACATACAACTTTGAAAATAATTTTTTTTTCAATGCAAATGAGATAAGATTCTAACTACATTTTGTTAGTAGCTGACATCTATATCACCTCAGGGGAATTTCTTTTATAAAGTACAAAATTGCCTAGTTAGTTAGTAAGCTACCTACCTACCTGTCCATATGTATATATTTGTGTGCTTTAATTGGACACAATATCAAATGCTGTGCAGTTGACTGGAAGGGGAGTGGAAAGAATCAGTCATTATTAGCAGAAATCCACTCTGTTTTTCACAGTAATGAGCAGCCATTCAAATATGATTAAAGTGACAGCACACTGACATAATGTGGCTATTAATTCTCTCTGAACAATACATTAAAGAAAAATTTGGAATTCACATGAAACTCAGTACCCACCAGGGACCTCATATGCTTGTTTCTCAGGCTTCAGTGAGCTTTTCTGTATGCCTGAATGCCCTAACTATCTATATCTGCACAAGCTGTTGTACACAAATCTATCAATAAAAGTAAAATAATTATCGTTATATTTATTAATGTGTCGCTTTCTTTCAGCAAGCTTTGGCGTAGTCAACTTTAAGGAGGAAAAAATAAAAACAAAAAACCTCTTTGTAAGCATTTGTGTAAAGTCGCTTCAGTGTTGGGAACAACACTGCCATTAGACCAAAGGGCAGCCATCTCAAAGGTGACAGGATATTCTTCTCTTTCAGCTTAAATGTCTGTTAAACTCTCCTGGTAAGTAGGAGATGCATCAATTTGATAAATACTCTTCCTTAGAGAGGCAATAACTCTTTACTTGTTTTTATGTATTTATACACATAGCATTGCTCTTTATCCAAATTCAATGTGTGTGTTTTTTATTTCCTAAATAGTTACAAATCTAAATTTAGATAAGAAGTTCCTCTTTCAGTTAGCAAAAAGGAATAGAAGCTCTGATTTTTGCTTTATTTAAGGGACATCTTTTCTGCTCTGATTATTTATTTTACATTAGATATTGCAAAAGATATAGAAAACACACTCTTTTTTTCCCTAAGAGAAATATCCAAGAAGATAATATAAAGCTACAGTTTATCAGAATCAGAGTTCTAAAATGACAAACACTGAAATTAAGTTTTAGTCACTCACTTGATCTTTAGATTATAAACATTTTAAAAATCAGATGTAATTTTTGCAAAGAAACTTTATTAATGTTTAATCCAAATTTGATATTCTTCCCTAGTTGCTCATAAGATGGAGATTCTGAAAACACTAGTATAAAAGCGGTGATCTGTTGTACTGGTTAAGTAGAACTGAACTGAAGTATGTACATATGAAAGCTACAAGATTCTCATAGCTCATAGTTACTCTCAGTAGCTCAGAGGGAAACCCAACAAAATCCCTACACTCAGTGAGGAGCAGAACAGATTCCAAATAATCTACTGACTTTCACAAATGTACACAATTACTCCTCAAACGAAGCAGCAGAAAGGTGTGTGGGTTTTTTTTATTTGTACCAAAGCTTATATTCTATCTATTTAATATGACAGTTTGTTTTCCAAGGGTCACTTAGGGAAAGGAAAATCGGGAATAAATCAAATAAGTTAATAAATAATTATATATAATATGTGTGTGTGTGTGTGTTAAAGAAAAATACATTTTTCTGCCTTGAATGCTAAGCAGAAATATTTAGTTTTATAGAGCACAAGAAGAGAGCCAGACAACCACAGGAAATCCTACGAGAGAAACAGTGCTTGTAAAAAACACACACAGAGAAAAAAACCTCTTAGAGCAGTGTGCAGGGTGTATAGGAAAGCAGAGAGAACAGAGATGAGTGATGAGAGTAATTTAAATCCAGTCAGATGATAATGAGGTTTCCACAGCTCAAAGACAATGGAGTATTGAAGGTAGAATGAATGCAACAGACACTTCAAAGAAAAATCTGAGAGTTAGTGATTTACTGAATATGGAAAACAAAGAGAAGGAGAAGCAAAACAGGTGTTCGGTGCTTTACACCTAGGGACCAAGAGAATGGTGGCATCAATGTAATTTATTGAAGACATTTTTAGCAATAGAATAATCAAACAATTGCTTATTTCTGCTGAAACCAGAACCATCTGAATGCTGAGTTTGTGCCTGATGGTCGAAATTTAGAACTTCCTCCAATTCTTGCAGTGTTTTTGAGCATTTCTGCAATATCTATGTACATATTTAGAAAATGCTCACCAGTTTGCCACCAATGGTCTAAGACGGGTACTCTGAAGACCTTTTTGGACCATTCCAGAGTCTCAACATCACATCGTTCTCCAGCCACAAATAATGTTTTAAACCTAAATATAAGAGGGAGAGTGAATTCAAGTTATTCCTTGAAAATAAATCTAAATAACTTCATCTACATTCTTTTAAACATTGTACAATCTAACCACAGTAATTTTCTCTGAGGAAAGCAGCCATATTACCAGTATATCATACTGCAAAATGGTGAGAGACATGATTTGTTTTGACCCAAATGTAACTTAATACACATCATGGCACTGGAGAGAGGCATTTCAAAAGTACAATTCACAGCTACAGCTTCTCAGCTTTGAAAAGAGCAATCAAGCTGATCTCTATCACGTATCTGTCATCTTCATCTAATGCTTAAAGATGAAAACCCCTTTCCCCCTTGACATTATCCCTGTTAATTTTAGCTCCAAGTTTGATTGCTATGTTCACCTTAGGTCTATACACAAAATACACTCTCAAGTATCAACTAAGACAACAACTATGCTCATAAATATGATGCATGTGCTTCTTTTTATGAGTTCCTTTGGTAACGAGTACTCTGATTTCAAGCACATATTTCCCCTGTTTCAAGGACGTATATATAGGGAAGATAGTAAAAAGTAAATACCATTATGGCCTTCAAAGTTTAAAAAGGCTCTTATGGAAAGGAATACATGATGACTGAGAAATGAAGAATCTTTGGCAGGGAGCACCATGCCACAAAATAAAAAGGATGAAATAGAAATATAGAATTGATTTGACACTATTGCTGGTTCATTGAGGGAATGACTATTTTTCTTCTATTCTCAATGCCCATGACCTGTCAAGACAAGGACTGTGTGCATGAAGAGTTAATTTATATCATCAAAGTAAAAGAACAATCAAATAAATGAAAACCTGCCTACCCAATGTAATACTGCCACAGAAGATTTATTGCCATTCCCTAAACTTATATCATCTCATGAAGATTCATGGAGATTCAAATATTCTCATCTTTACTTTCTAACAACATGCATATCCTGTCTCTGCTATAAACACACATTTCATTCTATAATTATTTGTTTCTTATCTATTGCCCACAGTGCACTGTGAGCCCCTTAGGAGCAGTCATCTTTATCCCTCAATACCAATCAAAATACCTGGGAATTTTAAATACTGAAACATTTCTAGAAGGTTCGAAAGACGAAGTACAGAGGTGGGGAGTTGGCAAAGTTTATGTCAGCTTGACTCATTCTATTGAGTAAAAGAGGAGGCATGTTGTTTTGTAAGAGCATGGAAATTGACAAAGGAACAGTGGCTTGAAGAAAGAAAAGTCTTGGTTATTTTGGGGAATTTTAAATGTATTACATAAAAGTGAAAGAACTAAAGAGCAGCTTCTTGGCTTTCATAAACTCAATCAGTAACCTAAGAGGCTAAGTCAACACAGCACAGGGTGAGTGTAGTACAAAAAAGAAGGGATGGCAAATCAATGTTTGTGAATCTAAACAAGGCAAGAGAAATGGGGAAACAAGGTAGGAATAGCCATGATGGAGAAAATTATCAGGAAAAATAATGGGGTCACAGAAGAAATTTTAAAAAATCAGTAAAAGCAAAGGCACTGTAGGATCAGAAAAAAAGAGGATGTAGTTGTAAAAGGGGAATTTCAAACTTTGAGATCTTTACAATGTGTCTGTTCTGAGAGAGGATAGTGTTTATGGTAACAGAGAGAATCTAACATTGAAAGACTGGATAAAATAAGTGTATTGATAGAGAAATTTGTCCTCCAGATATTAAAAATCACTTAAGGATGGTAACAGTCAAGAGGAGAGAGGACGTCCATGACTTGTTGACTAAAGTTGCTGAAGAGAGATCTGAAGAGAAGAGAGGGTTACAGAAATTGCAAGAGCTTTAATAGAAGATGAGCAATTAAAAACAGAATGATCAAACTCTCATGAGCTCAACTTTAATATCCTCCTTAACTTTTATAAATAATCATGACCCTAAAGGTGCAGTTCGGCCTCAAGAGTCTCAATGTGGACATTTCAGACGCTCAACAGCCACAGTAGCTAGTGGCCACCAAATGGAATAATGCAATTAGATCATGACTTTCTGAAGCAGCAGCAAAATTCCTACGTTGGCCAGGATGATAATTTTTCTTAGTTAACACTATATACACAATTCCTCCTCAAACCATTATGTCAATATTTTTTACTTGTATCTGAGTGCATGTACATGTGTGGGTGTGCAAGTGACAATAAATGCAACGAAAACAATCTGTTACTTAATGTTTCTATAAGAAGGCTGTCATCACAATAGCTTTGCAAAATTTTGGGTTTGGTTTGGTTTGGCTCAATAACTTGTCATAGTTACAGGACTTCATATAATGGTACAAGGCACTGCCAAAAATAATGTTTGAGTCTGGCTGGTGTGGCTCAGCGGTTGAGCATCCACCTATGAACCAGAAGGGCATTGTTCCATTCCTGACCAGGACACATGCCTGAGTTTTGGGTTGGATCCCCAGTAGGGGGCATGCAGGAAGCAACAGATCAATGATTCTCTCTCACCATTGATGTTTCTCCCTCTCCCTCACCTTCTCCCTTCCTCTCTGAAATCAATAAAAATATATTTAAAAAAAATAATGTTTCAGTAGTTGCCTCGTGGCATATTTTCCAACTACTTAGCCACTAGTCAGACCTGGGCCTCATCATGAATGGGCTTGTAGAGCAGTACAAGAAACTTAGATTTCATCATGAAGGAAGTGAGAAGCTAATTAAAGCCAATTAATGATTTTAAACAGGAGAATGGCACAGGGAGATTTTTGCCTTAGGAAGACTCCATCGGCAGTAGCGTGGCAGGTGGATGGAAGGTCAGGGCAGGAGCCCTGGGGTCTGGCTGTGGGAAGCTGTTGCCCCGAGTGAAGAAGTGGTGAGGACCAAACCCCAGGCCGACCTGGGAGAGGAGGCAGACAGAATTATTCAGGTCTGAGCAAACAGACTCATCACTACAAGACCACTCTCATTTCCTTTAAAATCCTTTTAGAAGACATTGTATGCTGTTGGAAGAAGAAAACCAAGACATAAATAAACAATAACAACAACAAAAACTCTCAAATACTTAATCCTAAATAAAAGTAAAATGTAAGAAAACATAATTGAGAGGAAAACACAGGTAATCATGACAAATTGTGAAAGCAGAAAAGACTGAATGAAAATGTAGTTCCATTGTTTTTGTGCTGCTTCAAGTTGTATCACACACACTTTTGAGACTGACAATTGATACATGATTTAAAATTTAGATTAAGTTAAAAGTATATTGTTGTTGTATATCATAGGAAATTTGAGGAATGAAAAGAATACACATATGTTATTGTACATATTAGGGTTTTTATTGTAATTTTGCCATTTATGACTGCAGGAGGTTTCAAACATAGTTTTCCAATTGATCAAAAAACTATTCTTTGTACTTCATTGAAGATGTAATAAATGGAAAGAAAATGTAATCATTTTCTAGAGCATATTTTATGTTTTTTACCTCCTTTTTCATCAATAATACAAGTGTAGCCTAGCCAGTGTGGCTCAGTAGCTGAGCATAGACCTATGAACCAGGAGGTCACTGTTCGGTTCCCGCTCAGGGCACATGCCCGGGTTTTGGGCTGGAACCCCAGTGGGGAGCACGTGGGAGGTAGCTGATCAATGATTCTCTCTCATCATTGATGTTTCTCCCTTTCCCTTTCTCTCTGAAATCAATAGAAATATATTTATAATAATACATGTGTAGTACACTTATTAGTCTAAAACTTTTCTTTAAGAACAGAATTTAATTTTCAATAGTTTGCTGTTTGAAAAAGTAAACAATATCCACCCAGCTGGTGTTGTTCAGTGGTTGAGCATGGACTCATGAACCAGGAGGTCAGGCACATGCTTAGGTTTCAGGCTCAATCAATACCCAGTAGGGGGCTTGCGGGAGGCAGCTAATTGATGATATTACTCTCATTAATGTTTATATCTCTCTCTCCTCTCCCTACCTCCCTCTGAAATCAATAAAAACATATATTTTTTAAAAAGAATATTATGCATCTAGATCATTTGTATTAAAATATGTAAAATGATAGGTTTGGTTGATGCCAACAATATAAAGAAAAAAAAGATATTTATAGTTATAAAAGGCAGCATTTCCATCATCTGTCAAACCACAGATTACTTCAAAGAGCTCTAGATGTTCCAGATAGTTGTATGTTTAGTTTATATATAAAATTGAAGATCTAGAACTTCAAAAGTATTTATTAATAAAAATGATGCTAAACAATGTCAATTAAAAATGTTAGCACAAAATACAAAATATTTTTTGGCTAATGAAGAAACAATAACTTGATATTACCAGCATTTTTACAAGTTTTATCATAATTTTTATTTAACTAATTTTTGGCATTATTTCCCAGCCAAGTAAATTACAATTAAACAATTAATTATTACAATAATAAGCCATGCACTAGCAATAAATTCATATCTGATGGCAAATTTTAGCATTACGTATCTTAAAACTTAGTATTTATTGCTATAATTGTCCATTATAATTCTATTGTATTTCTTTCCTTAGATTTGAATTACATTAATATTATGGTAGTAATCTTTATGCTGGCACTAATGCAAAATAGAAATATTTAATATTCAATAAAAAAATGGTAAAAGTGACAGCTAGCTTCACCACAAGTTAGAGACCTTTCCGTTTCCATTAAACTCAAGATGAGAAAAAATTTTGAAATCATTGGTGATTTAGAAAAATGTAAAAGTAGTATAGACATTTCCTTTCCCTGGATACATTACAAACTATCATTCACCTGTGGCTATTTAAAAGTTAAATCAATTAAAATTGAAAAAAATTGAAACTATCATTTTTTTTAGCAGTATTAATCCTTTGTCAAGAGTTTAGTAGTGACATGTGGCTAGTACCTACCTTATAGAGCTCAGGTTTATTAGATAGTGCTACCCTAGATAATTATAGACTAACTAGATTCGTGCACTGGTGGGGTCCCTCAACCTGGCCTGTGCCCTCTCGCAGTCCGGGACCCCTTGGGGGATGTAGTAGTGCGTGAAGCAGCAGGCAGCTGGGGAGGAGCCTGAGACCAGGCCAAGCGCTGCGCTGCTCCTGCTCATCCTGGCCCTGCTGTGCCTGCTGCCACTCAGTAAGCTCGCTGAGCAGGGCTCCTGCTGTGGGAGCGCACTGACCACCAGGGGGCAGCTCCTGCATTGAGCATCTGCCCCCTGGTGGTCAGTGCACATCATGGCGACCAGTCGATCAGTCGTATGGTTGCTTAGGCTTTTACATACATAGATTAATTATCTGAATGATATTATGATGGTAGCACACACACAAAATGACTCTACTTCCAAATTTATAATACTAAAAATATAAACAAAAAACATAATATGCAATATTCAGAGTAGGAAAAAGGAGGGGGGGGCATTAATAGGAAGGAGACCTACACACCTTCCCCCAACTTTATGTAAAATTGAGTACAGCCCTAACCGGTTTGGTTCAGTGGATAGAGCGTCGGCCTGCGGACTCAAGGGTCCCAGGTGGTCCCAGGTTCGATTCCGGTCAAGGGCATGTACCTTGGTTGCAGGCACACACCCATTAGGGAATGTGCAGGAGGTAGCTGAACGCTGTTTCTCTCTCATCAATGTTTCTAACTCTCTATCCCTCTCCCTTCCTCTCTGTAAAAAATCAATAAAATATATTTTTTTAAAAAACTGAGTACAATTTGAGATTAAAATAAAGTTGAAAATTAAGCAAAAAGGAAACAGAAAAATGGTAGTGTTATCAAATTAATTTTAGTCCAAAATGGACAGGAAGCTGCACTGAAATGAATAAAGAGCTAAAAGATAAATTCTAGTGAAGAATTTCCAGGTAATAAAGTAGGGACAGAAGAAAACTAAAATGAATGTCTTATTCAAGGTCCATAAACTACCAAACCAGTGAAAATTACTCTTTATTTATGCCAAAAGAAGTTAAATTTAGATTATTTCAGTGATGCTGCATCAACTCCTAGTTCACATGACAAACATCATTATTTTTTGCCATCAGTGTGCCTGTGGTTATCTCCATCTTTCCTTCATTCTATTTTCTCCTACTCTTCCCCAGTAGAAGAAAATTACTTTTTCAAGAAAAAACTCAAAGTACTTTTTGAAAAAAACTCTCCACCATTTTGTTATTGTTATTTATCATATTAATTTTGGCTTCTGTTTAAACACAATATCCTATTATGATTGTTATGCCAAATATATAAATTCAACAAAATATTTTATCAGTTTTATCAGTTACTTATTTTTTAAACCCATACCATTCCCCCATGTGTATTTTTTTCTTTTATGAAAGTCTTTGGACAATAAGTTCTTTTAGCTTTGTCCATATGAACATTTGTCTATTTTGCCCTCAGTCTTTAATAAAAAAAAAAAAAAAAAAATTAGTTTGACAATTCTCCCTCAGCACTTTGAAGATCCTTCACAGTTGTCATCTGAAATCTATTAGGATCAGTTTGATTTTCCTCTTTGGTGCTCTGTTGATTCTCTCTGGTAGTTTATAGATTTTATCTATAGCCTCAGCTTATGTTTTACAACTTCCAAATGGCATGTCCATTGAGAATTTACTTATATCTAACCTGCTTAGTACTTGGATGGCACTTCCACCTGGGATATATCTGAATACAACCAGCCTTACCACTTTCTATTCCAGTCATTTCCAGTCTATAGAAATGTTTTTGTTTTTTAGCTCATCTCTGATGCTAGGCTTTTTCTCTTTTGTGTTAGCTCTCATTGCTAAGTTATTGGAAAAGAAAGGCTGCATGAAGTAAGAGGTACTGTGATATCTTGAATGGAAATCCCAGCACTGAATACAGGAGTGGGCAAAGTAGGTTTACAGTTGTTCATATGGAAAAGGACATTCAGGTTATGAATATTACAATAGCTTTATTAACTCAAAGGAATGTCACAATGGCAAAGTACACTTACATATAATCTCATATGTGCTCCAACTGCCGGCCTTCATCATTTACACATTCTTGTAGACTACTTGCTATACTCAAACACAATTGTAAACCTACTTTTGCCCACTCTTGCATTTACTAACTTAAGATTGAACTTGAAAATCATAGGAAAATAAACTATTATGATGTGATGTAAAAGGGAAATGAGTTAGAAAGCAGGAGATAATAATAGCTAAGACTTGTCTATGTTAAGAACTGTTACAAGTGCTTTGCATGTCTTAGATACCTTTTATTTTCATTATACTCTTGCTCTATTACTCTTTACAGTGAATAAAGGTGGGGGAGGGAAGCTAGATCTAAGGTCTCACACAGCCAGTTAATGGTACATTGAACCCAGCTAGTCTAATTCCAGAGTCAGAATGTTAACTACCATACTGTACTGCCTAGTTCCAGCTTTGTCCCAGAGTAGTTGTGAAATCCAAGGGATACTATTTCACCTCTCTATGACAATATTTTCTCAACTGTAAAATGAAATAGCTCCATTAGATGACTTCTAATCTATTTTTCCAAATTCTAGAATATATAGTTCTGGTTATGTAAGTACAAAAGGTCTTGAACATAAATATAAAAGTACTAGAGGCCCGGTGCACGAAATTCGTGCACAGGTTGGGTCCCTACGCCTGGCTGGCTATCAGGGCTGATCTGTGGGGCAACTGAGGGGGCCCCAACTGGCACCCACCTTGGCTGACTTGGCACTGCCCACTTGCCAGCCCAGGCACCCCCCCACCACTGCCAGTCACCTCCCTCTGTGGGGTGACTGGCGGGGCGATCGGGGGGCCCCTGCCTTGACTGGCCTGGTGGCACCCACTCACCAGCCCTGCCCCCCCACCACCACCAGTTGGGGCCTGCCAGCTGGGGGCAGCTCCTGTGTTGAGCATCTTCCCCCTGGTAGTCAGTGCAGATCATAGCGACTGGTTGTTCCGCTGTTCGGTTGATTTGCGTATTAGGCTTTTATTATATAGGATAGTTATATGAGAAGAGTTGAATTCTGGTATTTATTCTGTCTCTAAACCAAATTTAACCTTTTTTGGACCTCAGTTTCCTTGTTTTAAAAATGAGATAGCTGGATTTCTTTGATCCCTTCTGTTTCTAACATTCTCTTAGTCCACAAATGAGAATCCATTAAAGTAGTTCAGTGAAGGTATTATCTCTGAATAGACTAAAAATATGTGAAAAGTGAAAGTTGCTTTTATCCCACAAATGATAAAAATCTCTAGGCTTTGTGAGTTTCTTACTTTACCTCTCACAGTAAAAGAATGTTTGTGGTATTTAGTTAGGAGTGTGGGGCCTAGTCAAATTGCCTGGATTATTTTCTTTCTCAAGAGTTACTTAAATGCTCTGGGACCAATGTTACTCATTTGTATAATGAAGATAATCACAATTCCTATTTATTATGATGACAAAGCAAGATAAAAGTAAGCTGCTTATGGCTAACACATAGATTTTGAGTATTTGCACTTATTAGTAGTAGTAACTTGAATAATTGAAAGTGTTTGCAGAGTCTTCATTCCTAAACACCTAGTAGAAACATATGTGCACGTAATCATAAATAATTTAGTTGCCTAAACACAAAGGAGCATGATCAGGAGGAACTTAACTGCAATTTCTTTTACGCTAAAATCTGACTCCGTATCTTTATGTATTCTTTGGTAAACGATGACTTAATAGCCAATTAGGATTGTTTGATGCTTTAAACATTAGGCGAATTAGAAGCAGCTCCTGCCTTCACAGAAATGATGGCATCTAAAGCCCACATACAAACGGAAAAAGAAGACGATGCAGCAAATGAGCAAGCTTAGTTTGCTGGTCACACAAGTGAATGCCCTGCAATCAGAATGCGTTCGTCAGTAAAGAGACACTGCAAGAAACCACAATCACTGCTTCTTCAAAGATGGAACTGTCTTAAGATGTGAAGATTACACACAGCCTCAAATGCATTTGCAAAGTTTATATTTCTATCCTTTTGACTAAAATGCAGGAAACCTAATGGAAATGTCACAATTGAATGAAGAAATAGAGGGCTAATATAAATATTATAATAGAGGATTCATTTTATGAACACCTTTTATTTTAATAAGAGAGTAATCTTTGGATGATAAGTACATTTGGATGTAAACACGGATCTACTTTTTAATAAAATAAAAAAGGAAAAAGAAACAAATAAAACCCTGCCAAAACTGATTGCTTACATCTGTAATTGGTGTGTGTTATCTATTTTAAACTCCTTCTTTGGGCCATAGCAACACAAAATTAGTAACATTTGGCTTTTAACTTAAAAAAATTCAAACCGACTTCATGCAAACACACTTTCTGACTTGAGAAAACAATAAAATCTCTTCCTTTAGTTTATGATAGCAGTGACCTATTTCAAAGAGATTCGATGAGAATCGATGCTGGAAACTGACTTAAAGATATAAATTACTATAATTATCTTTGGATATACATATCATTAGGCTAAAGAGGATGTCAATAAGCCAGCATAAAAATATCTAAACTCTTCACAGCATATTATTATAAAATAATAAAAATAATTTCCTTCACTCTTTCAACAAAGGTAATTTGAGCTATAAAATTCGTATTTTATCTGTATATGTAAAATAAAATAATATTTTTCTTCTATTAAAACCATTGTTTTATTTTCAAAAGACAGGTATATACAGAGATACAGATCTAGATTATACAGGTATACATCTATATAAAATGCATATGTGTATGCATTTTAATTTCTAGTCAGCACTTTACTTTAAGAAAAATATAAGCAGCGTAGTTTTAAAAATACTTGGGTAATATTTGAACTGACATAAGCATAATGTGGTATTTAAAAATATCCATGGTGTAATTAAAATAATTCCAAGTATTTCAAAGATATGTTTAGAAGAGTCATTCTTGCTATCATTCAGAATCGTTGGGCTCTCTCCATAAGATACTGCAGTGCCAGAAAAAATAAAACGTTCAGTTATTCATTCAGATTGCGGTTTTTGATGTAATTTGCCTTGTGCATCCCATTCACCTTGTTAGCGAGTACTGCTTCCCCAAGGCTGCCCCAGGGTCCTGTTGACGGATTGCTCTAATTGCAGTGGGCGCTGTAAACAAGGCAGCTACTCCATGCTCCGCCAGCACGCGGAAATAAGCTCCAGCATCTGGTGTTCCCACAGGCTTCCCCTACAATGAGATTCGTTTAAAATGTCACTGAGTAAAATGCCTCATATTTCATTGACGGGTCAACACTTACACATTTAACACAGACACGTTAATAAACTGGGACTCTCAGCAAGTCTTACTTGTAAAACATTCCCATGTTCTATCATAAATAAAACAAACCAAATGCCCTGGCATCAGAGAGGTCGTTTGTTCCATTACAACAACCTAAAAGCTTTTCAAACTCCGATGTTTCTTTTCTTAAGTTTTGTAATTCAAACTAACAGTACCCAACAGCCTGCTATTTTATAAGAAATTAAATAGATGGTTTTGCATGGTAGGCTGAATGAGAAATACATTGCTAACTTATCTTTTTCTCAAGATCACTATTACAAGCGACAACAAATCTTAAAATATCTGAGAAGAGAGAAAAATCTGGAATCACAGTGATTTCTGAGCAATGACCTTTTCAATTAAATGTCTCACTCCAAGGATAGCAAATTCTATGAATTTTGTTTAAAACCCAATAAGACATCCCAAAATGCATATTTCCCACAGCCTCAAAATGACATTATACACGTTCAATCAAAATTCATGCATAAAAATCTAACAATTATGACAAACTATGCAATTAAAAAGAACATAAAGCATTTTTAATTGATGTTTCTGCAAAGTGGAAAATGAGCATGTCATTTAAACAAATAAATAATTCTGTAAAAAGCTGAAATGACCCACAAAAATCTATCTTGGCTCTGCCACACCCATTATTCTTCAGTCCATTCTCATCTGTGCTGCTTTTTCTGTTTCTAAATCAACGTGCCTGGAATGTTAATATATGTTATATATGTACCATTCCTTAAACTTCTTTGACCACATGTCCCATCTGAGCACCCCAAGGATCTGATGGTCTGGAAAACACACTAGGGAAACACTGAACTAAGATAAAGGAGGGAAGAATTTGCTGGCAGTAAACTTAGAGATCTCCCCACAGAGAATAATAAATGAAAGATAATAATATAAGGCAGACCATAACCGTTCAATAATATAGATTTACTATCCACTTCTAATTGGACCTTTGATGGGGTATGATTTCTATTTTACTTTTATTTTTTTCATTGTTGATTTTATTATTCTTTAATGAAAATTACATTAATTTAAAAAAAAACTCTTTAGGACTTCCTTATGTCCTATTGCTTTTTTTTCTTGCTCCTTTTTTAAAATATATTTTTATTGATTTCAGAGAGGAAGGGAGAGGGAGAGAAAGATAGAACATCAATGATGAGAGAGAATCACTGATCGGCTGCCTCGTGCATGCCCACTACTGAGGATCGAGCCCACAACCCAGGCATGCGCCCTGATCGGGAATCGAACCATGACTTCCTAGTTCTTAGGTCAAAGCTCAACCACTGAATCATACAGGCTGGACTCTCTTAATACAAAAGAAAGTATTATTGCAACTAGAAATTTATTTTTTATTATCCCAGCTATCCCAAAAAACTTGATTGTATTTTATTTCATTACCACCTCATATAGATCAACAGATTGACACAGTATATAATCTGGCAACTCATGTACATAATTTGACTAACACATTTTGAAGCCTTAAGCACAGCAATCTGAAAATGAGTCAGCAACTTTATTCTTTCTAACCAAACAAGGTAAACATTTGACTTTTACTTCTTTGATCTTAGGCACTGATCAGCTCCTTGTGCAGTAGATTGCGACTGAGAAACTTGATATTAACGCCATAAGAAATGATTTGTCAGCTGACCTTATGCAATTGACTTGCCATTTTCTTGCTTGCTAAATCAGAATAAATCACTGATCTAATATTTCCTCAATAAGCTAAAAGCGCTGAGATAATATTTTAAAGTAGTTTGACCTCCAGTGAAGAAAGATATTTTATATCCAATCGAAGTTCATGCGACAATAATATACTTACTAAAAGATGATATGCGCATCATAATGAACATGCTATCCCATAATGACTACCTACATAAAGGGCACAATTTGATGTAGTTTACAATGACTTTAATTAATTATGTCTAAAGATAATAATGATTAAAGCATTAAAAATATTAGAAACATTACCATACTTTTATAAATAATATAGAATTATAACAATTGTTGTAATTCTGACGCTGTGCCAAATTTTCACTAATATTATATTTACCCAGTATAAAAATCAGATAACATACCATTACTATTAGGATACTGAAGGATGGATACATAAAAGTTTATAATGTTTTTAGTTGATCTCAATAGGTTCAGATACTTTGCATTTTATTGTCCATTCCCAGATTATTCAAGATCATTTGAACATCATAAGGAATATGATGTTTCCTTATTTTAGAATTGCTTTACTATTTATATATTTTAAACTTTTATTTTCTTATGAATTTCCATTTGATCTCAAATCTTAAGTAAAACATTTTATGATATAGTAAAGAACTTACTGTTCCCCAAAACAGCTGCGGATTAATACAAACATTAGGTTCTGAATGATGTAAACACTTCAAGTAATACTATGCAGCACTGAGCAATATCTTGCATCAGAACCATCATCCACATAAAAACAAGTCATACTAAATTAGGTAGTGCTAATATATTTATTCACTTAATAAATATTTATTGAGCACCTACTATGGGCTAGGCACTGTTCTAAATGCCGGGAATAATTTTATGAACAAACTAGGTAAGGCTCTGCTCTAATGGGACTTATATTCTGGTAATAATGGGTGTTTGTGTGACATAATATTATTAAAAATTACATAGCAGATGGTACAAACTATTTGTGTCTAATAAAGGGAAGGAATAAAGTAATAAATATAGGACCCATACGTTCTCAACAACTATCACCTCTAGAGCTTTAGAAAAATGAAGCAAAGCCTGTAAGCCACTTTCATTATGAGCTCTAAATGAAAGTGACTCCATAACTTACTGATTTTATTGAACAATCTTCTCTCCTGCCCTCCTACACATACACAGGCTCCGATACACATACACACACACACACACACACACACACACACACACACACACAGATAGGCAATATCATCCCTTTACAATGCTTTTTTAAAGTAACCAGTAACACACTAATTATGCTGAACTGCTGGAGAGGAAAAATGACGCTAATTTCAGAATTTGTACTCAGTAAGGGGCAGGAGCCCAAATACTATTCAAATTTAAAATGAGATAATTCTAAAATTATGGGGATTTTTAACAAACAGCATACACACCAAAAGTAGCAATATGCCTAAAAGGTGAAAGTAATTTAAAAATCCTTCAAAACTCAAATCTATGTCCTTACCATTTGCTTTTATTTCCTTCCCCTAACCTAGAGTCTACCCTGTTGGTGGCTGCCCAGAAAACAAAGGCAAAAAGCAATCCCTCCAGTGGCAAAGCAGAGGTTATAAGCTTTCAGCTGTTATAAATCATGAAATTTTTACATCAGAGGTTCATAGACAATCAATTGCTCATATTTATAATGTGGTTAGTGGGATGTTACAAAGCACTGAAAACAAGCCAGTTACCAAATATCTTGAAATTAACACGCACTTACAATATTCTACTACTTATGATTCAATGTGTTAATATTTATGGACAACAAATGATAAGTCCTGAGTTAAAAACCCAGGTAATGTCTTGACTTCTCACATAATTCCCAATGAGGTTACACTTTCAACACAGGACAGTAGTAGAATATAGCAACTTAGCAAAACAAAGATTAAAAAACACTAGAGCTACACCTTTGAGCAAAAAATCACTTACTTTATTAATAACCCCATGATTTCCATTAATCTACAGCTTGGAGTCAAAGTAACTTGTGGTTTCTCAAATTTTGACATAAAACTTTTGTAGCAGGATTAAAAACACACCTGGTCTTTTTTTAGAGCTCTAAAAAAAGCATGTTCTAAGGCAGTGGTTCTCAACCTTCTGGCCCTTTAAATACAGTTCTTCATGTTGTGACCCAACCATAAAATTATTGTCATTGCTACTTCATAACTGTGATGTTGCTACTGAATCATAATGTAAATATCTGATATGCAGGATGGTCTTAGGTGACCCCTGTGAAAGGGGTCGCAACTCACAGGTTGAGAACCGCTGTTCTAAAGTGAGGACAGCACCATCCTTTTGTACAAACTTTCAGCTATAAGATTTGTATTGTATATTTAAAACTTTCAAGAGTAGAACTTAAATATTCTCACCAAAAATAAACACACATAAATAAATGAGACGATTGATGTTTTAATTAACTAGGTAGGAGCAATGCTGTCACAATTTACATGTGTTTAAAATCATCACAATATATACCTTAAATATCCTACAATATTTTGTCAATTATACCTTGATAATGTTTTGAAAAATTTATCTATCCCTTTTGGTTTGGTTCTTCCCCTGCCTTCTCCCAGCTCTGAGTTGGCCATGTATGGCCAGTGAACAGGCCATTGCTTCCACCTAGGTCATAAGAGTCTATCTGTCTCACTAAAAAGATGCTTAACTCTGAAGTATTGATGCCAGGCAAACGAAGCAGAACGCTGGCACTGGTAATCCTGCAGGACCAGTACTGTGCTAATTAGGGCCTCTGACATATTTACCATTCTCAACAGTCAGAAGGAGCATTTATCACTAGGAGAGCTGGTGGCTTGTGACTTCTAGCTTTCATCTCTGAATTCCTCCATGCTGATGTACAATCACTCTGCTGTTCTGCACTAGAGGGACCAATTAAGGTGTGTTGTGTTTTGTTTTATTTATGGTGAATAGTGAGACTTTGCTGTAAGCAGAGAAATTAAATGGTGTCTTGCTTTCTTACACTTCCAGATTTCTTCCCAGAAAATAAAGGGTGGCTATTCCATATGTATGTACACTGCAATTCGACCTGAGGTTGTACAAAGCCTGACTCCTCCATACCACTGAATCTTTTACATAAAAAAGCCCTGAAACATGCACATACGTCCCCATGTTAAAAAGCAAAACAAACACAATAAACCTTCCTATAAATTTGCTCTCATAAAGGTGGTTAA